ACTTGTAATCACTGAAACTGAATGCAGATGAGGGAGAACAATGCACTGAATAATATTATTTATTTATTTGTACAGTTCTTTTATGGCTTAATGAATGATGCTGTCAGTATATACACTACATAATGATTGATAAATTATGAACTGGAAAGGACATGAAAGGAGGCAGTTGGGATCTACTTCAAAGTACAGCATTCTCATGGAGTGACTAAGAAAAATGTCAGGGTAGTCAGTTTTGTCTGTAGTTCTGTATGGGTGTGAAATCTGGTCTCTGACATTAAGGGAAGAACACAGACTGAGGGTGTTTAAGAACAGGGTGTTGAGAAGAATATTTGGACCGAACAGAGATGAAGTGACAGGAGACTGGAGAAAACTGCATAATGGAGTGCTTCATAACTTGTACTCTTCTCCAAGTATAATTAGAATGATCAAGTCAAGGAGGATGAGATGGGCAGAGCATGTAGCACGAATGGGGGCGATGAATGCATGTATGATATTGGTGGGAAAGCCAGAAGGAAAGAGACCACTGGGAAGACCAAGTCGTAGGTGGATCATAGAGAGATAAGACCGGTGGAGGGCTCTTGTGAATATGAAAATGAACCTTCGGGTTCCATAAAATGCTGGGAAATTCTTGAGTAGCTGCAGAACTGGCGGCTCAAGAAGGGCTCAGCTCCATGAGTGAGTAAGTAAGTCAGTATCGTAACCTAAATTCTACCTTATTGTGGTGGTGGGGCATGCGTGACTCTGTGACCTGGAGAGCTATGCCAGCAGTAGTTTAACTACCAGTAGGGTCACTCATGCTGGAAAGGTCAACAGGTAGAGTCCAGACTAAGAGAGATACCCTGGTCCTACAGATTGGGGGTTGGCCATTAGGCTAACAACTTCATCCTGTTAAAATAATTTTGTTCAGAAACCTAACAACCAGCCTTGGGTGACTATACGTGGATCTGCTTCTATGGAAGTACACATTGGTGGTGCAGACTGGTTGTATAGGAAGCCAAGGCTCACCCAGGGTTGTAGCGACTAGTGATAGGCATGTAAATTCCAACCAGCACCTTCCAAATATAAGTCAGAAGTGTTGGGGCTCAAGTCAGCTTGTTTGGTTTCAGGGGGTTTCGCTTTATATGGTGATAAATGAACCAATGATATAGCCAACTGGCAATAAGCTGTAGGATTATCATCTGTACAGTTTAATGCCAACAGCTCAGATACTTACAGTAGAACTGAGTGTACTCTTACAGGCCATGCAAGAATTGTTAGGCTGCATCAGGTAGTTAAGTAAGTAATGAGAGACCTCCATGTTCAATACATGAAGCAGAAAGTGTTATTAATGAAGAATGTGACAAACTTTAAACACATATATACTAATTGAGTTGAAGCTTTCACAGCAACAGTATACTCATACAATGAGGACTTCTAGGGTGATCAGCCACATCAATGTGGAGTTAGTATCTGACATTTCAGAGACTTTCTCTGTCTCCATCATCAGAGGTTTGTGATGACTGCTGTACTCACACACAATATTTATACACAAAGAAAGCTGCCGGTTACCGGCAGCACTTATCACAGAAGGAACAGTGGATGAGTTAATTGGTCTGCCATCACAACACAGTCTTACCACTTACCACAGGCTGTACATCTTGATGCAACTGGTGAGGGCAGTAGAAGTTGAGCATAGTGTGAGACCCACAGCTAATTGTAGTCACAGTCGGATAGAACAGTGGTCCATCAAGATGTGGCTGCAACATAAAATATTATGCTCATAATTTGGCTGACACAACAGTAACAATTTTGACTTGTATGTGTTAAATATTCAAGTAACTGGGTATCCCAAATGAGCTGCCTTTTAGTCTACCAATAAGCCAAGATAATTCAGTCAGTAATGGAATTCAGACTGGGGAATAGAAATGCTTGACTGACTTACCATGATACCTTCACCTGGCTGATACTCATTCACTAACACATGATTTGGTTGTTTCCCACCAAACAAATCAAGCTTGCCAATCTTCTGTGTAAACACCAATAACCACTGTGGAGAAATTAAAATTTTAATACTGATTTAACACGCAAAATTGACAGCAGCCACCACCTAATCATATTTAAAAGAAATCAACGTGCACACCAAAATCAATGAACTACATGAAACACACCCCTGCTGCCAAAGATTATGCTAATAGATCCCACAAAGAGATCAAAGCCGTTTTTACTAAATTTAATAGGTTGACCTATTTTAATTTTAATTTTGATCGCAATTTTAATTTTAAAATTGAGACAAGCAGTGCATTGAACAGTTTTGCATAGCAAGGACACCTGATGATGGCTATATACAGCCAAAACAGGTTGTGAATAAAGACTAAAGTGACTGTAACAATCTTGTGTTGCCCAGTGATGGAAATATATATTGATGAAATAACTGCCTATTTACTTCAATATTTATTTTGTGCCACTGCATCAAATGAAGAAATTATAAATAATTTAATGAGAAATGGCAGTACTCCTGTTATATTTAAAAATGTGAGTGAAAAAATGTCATCTACTGAACAGTTCTATGACACTGCTTGCTGCCTGCTCCTTGATGGTGCTTCCTTTGTTTACTTTCCGATAATGGATATGGGGGCAGTATGTGTGCCCAAAACGTTGGGGGACATCTACTAAACTACACTGCGTTTCATCCCAGAAGATAACACTCTCCAGTAGATTTAATTTGGAATTTAGTAAAGGCCTATTCAATATTTACCAATTCAAAAAATGTTGTCAAGCACAACAATCTCATGTCACAAAAAACAGACAGGAGCAGGGTCACTTCTGGAAGCATGCAGCAGTACAATGTGAAACACCTTAAAAATACTTCATATTTCCATGGTTGTGATTACTGAGATCCTGATCTTCTGATCTCTCTTATAGAGAGATAGTGATATTTTGGAGAAATATTCCACCTCAGCCTTCTGGGCTGGCAATGTGAGTACCGATTCTCCCAAGATTATGCAAGACTTGACTTATGCAAACTGAGTCCTTTGTCATCCACAACCAAAAATTTTCCTTCAGTGAACCAGAATAACACTAGGATTAAGGCATGAAATGTAATTTTCTAAGCTTACATTGAACACTTTTCCATGTTTAAATTTTTTCTCCTTATAAAGACGTAAGCACACATGCATGTATTACCATAATGATTTCAACTTATGCAAAATTTAGATGGCTTCTATAGCCACATATAAGACTACATGCTGTCACAACCCACAAGACCAGACTTAATAAAACATAAAATCTTTTAAGCCTAATTCACATGGGGATGGTTTACAGGAGTCAAGTGCTTGAAGCCTTTAATCTTGAACCCATTTTTTTTTTTAAATTGCTAGTGGGGTGGGACTAAGTCCCTTGTACTGCGGCCTATTTTACCAGACCCAGGTGATAGGTGAGGGTGATTGTGGAGCAATTGGTGGAATGAAGTTTGGCAGGGGAATCCGAAGTACTTGGAGAAAACCTGCCCCAGCGCCACTTTGTCCACCACAAATTCCACATGACCAGACCTGGGATCGAACCCGGGCCGCTGCGGTGAGAAGCCAGTGACTAACTGCTTTAGCTATGGCGTGGCCTTGAAGCTATCTTTGTAATCACATGAGGAAAATGCACAAAGTACTTGAAGCCATCACAAGCGAGCACAATTGTTTTTAAATTGTATTTGTGAATCTGCATTGTGAAATTGAAGATGTCACGATCACAAATCTAAGCATACACACTGCTAATTGGTGCACTGTTGCTTCATGAACTACAAAACAGTCTTGAAAAGAAAGAAAAGAGGAAAAGAAGATGGGTTAAGAAATGGATTTGTAGAAGAACTCTGTATGGTGCATCAAACACCTTGTTGAAAGAATTAGCTGAAGAGGATGCTTCAGAGTACATGAGACATGAGACAAAAGAATGTTTGAAATATAACATTAAACTGTCTAAAACACCCGTGAGGGCTCATCCCCATCATCAGACAGTGCCATACACATATCATTACATTACCATTAGAAAGTTACTAGATCTTCGACATACAATGTGAACGAAAATCACCATACCAGAGGTCTTACTGACCTCCTTTAGAACATTATCTACTCAAGTTACGATGTACCCTCAAAGATGTTTTAGAGAGATAACATCCCTTATCAATTCTGAGTACTTAACATTTCTCATTGTAGAAAACACATTGGCCTATATAAAAATATTAAACTCTGTTTCCTCCTGCTTCCTATCCCTCCTGATGACATTTCTGGGGGTGGGGGAGAGAGAAAAAAAAAGCCTCACCTCAGGCAACTTTTCTGCAACCATTCCTTTTGGATGAGGAATCCCTCCCCAGTTCTGCAACCGACGATGTGACAGTTGTGTCCATTTTGGCTTTGGAGCTGAGTTAACGTGGGCAATTACTGACGCCTCCTCCTCTACTGTGATGAAATCTGGTATATAATATACAGTTGGTGGAGCCTAACAAATGACAAAATGTTTTCAATTATAGTCCGCTCTTGTAATACCCAAGTTTATATACAGGAAGAACTGTTTACCATGCACAAATCTATATTCATGTATAGGCATGACTGGATCCTTCATGGGCAGCAATTTATCGTAGTCTACACCAAGTAAGAAAGTAAGCAACTAACTAGTTGAGTCCTTCTTTAAAAGCTACAAGTTGCTCAGCCACTTAGAAAATTCCCAGCACTGTACAGAATCCAAAGGCTCATTACTGTGCTCAAAAGAACCTGCCACTGGTCCCTATCCTGTGCCACCTCAGTTCAGTCCCCATTCTCCCATCCTGTAGTCTACACTGCTGACAGCAAATACAAAATGCCCGCTGATACACAGCTTACCAACCAATATCATGGAACCCAAGGGTTCATTCCCATGCACAAAACAGTCCAGTGCATACCCCATCCTGAGCCAGATGAATCTAGTGCATATCCTCCCACTCCATTTACGATCAATTTTAATACTAGCCTCCCATCTATGCCATAGTCCTCTGAAAGGTCTCTTCCTTTCAAGTTTTCATACTAATGCTTTGCATGCATTTCTGATTTCTCTCATGTGGGCTATATGCCCTCACTCTTATGCATACAACAAATACAATAAAATTATGCCTGAATTGATAAACTGTTTTGGTATTGCATCTCTGCGATGTCCTAACCACTCTACTTTTATCTTCGACTGTTTTTGGTTGCTATATTTACCAGCATATGAATAGATATATCTTTACTACACAGTGACCGTATACCTATGCCTCTTGTGCTTGTACGACCTATGAGATACTCAGAAACATTTACAGACAGGAGCAAGGGTCTACAATAGTACTAGTATAGTTCCGAACAGTTTAAGGATGGGTTTTACCTAAGATCTGCATTCATCAACAGGTTAGGTTCACTTCAATGCAAATTAATTGAATTTACTCAAAAATGCGAACACTTTCATATTTATCAACCATTTGATAATTCTGTGCCAGGCTGGATTAGTTTAAATGAATATAAATTACTGCTGTATTTGGTACACATAAATAAAATAAAACTATTTCTACAGTTAAGGAAGTCATGCGAATGCGTTCTAAACCCGACTGGCGTGAGAAGTGAAGTATGAAATTGCATTTCATCTTACCTTAACAACAAGATGAGTTTCCACGTTCATTTTTGTTCAGCCTAATGTAAAAAACTATCAATATCTGAAAAATACCTCCTCCATATCATTCTTTTCATTACACAATTATTACATAGGCTTTCAGTTTGCTCTGCTGAGAATTGCGTTACTTACGTCGAAAGAATTTTATTTATCATGCTTGCCTTCTGAATTGCCGGAATTTAACAAATCTTACGTAATAAGAGCTGATAACAGTCGCTATTTTACCGCATAAACCGAGAACGTACTTATACGCTCAACTCACGAACGTCAAATTCTTAATCGGCAACAAGTTGAATAGCCCCTACCAGCACCTCCTCAGGTTCACCAATAGTGAAAACAAAATCTCTCTTCAAACAGATACAATTTAATTCTCTAAATCAAAGTTCCTAGCAATGTATCTATAGAATAAAAAAATGTTTTACATACATAGTACACAAGTGTTGTCCATAAGAGACGATATTAAGATGAATTTAAAAATCCGGGATACGTTTTTCTCATCAGTTTATGTATTAGATAAAAAAAAAAGGCCGCGCCATAGCTCAAGCCAGAGCCAGTCTGGACGGTGGGGGGCAGAATCAAATGTCTTTCCCCTGCCAGGAATCAAACCCCGTCCCTCTAGCCCATGTCCCATCCTTATAGACTCCATAAATGCAAAAATGGTGTATTAAATTACACATTAAGTCACAAGATTTATGCATGACCACAAATATTGACTGGCTTATACTACAACCTAATCTTTACAAGCCTTGAAAAATAACGCTGCCATTCTTTCACACCTTCTTGCCTATATTTGGAGCCACAGTTGTGTCCTGCTTTCCACTCTACACATTAATAAGAAAGTATGTCTCTGCAATTTTTACTCACAAACATGGTTCCATCTTAATATGCGGCTTTGTGAGCCACAGCGTTCTGGTTGTAGTGATGAAAATTCCCTGTGCCTCTGCTGAGGATCAAATCCTAACCAACCAGTTTGCAATCAGTTACTTTAATGACTTACCTATTATGATTCTGGGATAACACAGATTCACAGAAAAAGACAGTAAAGTTGAGATGGAAAGTTAACCATGACAAACCCGCACAAAGATATATCATCAATGACAATATGCATGCTAAAACCATTCTTTTTATTTATTCTCAAACCTATGTCTTGCTGATGTTTCTTCTTACATCTGACACCTTACATTTGTGTGCACAGAACAGTAAATTACTAATTAACATATGATTTAAAACTGTCACAGTGACAAAATGAAGTCCTCTCAACTGATCAGCCATGTTCGTATGTGGTTAGTATCCAAGGTTCCAGGGTTTGTTGCTGCTTCCATCATCATGGACTCATGCAACTAAGCATTGTGGTTGCACATATTTATATCCAGAGAATATGCTGTCTCAGCACATACATGTAAGGGAATACACAGTAAGACATTCTGTGGTGTCCTATTCAATAATGGACCACTGGAGGGACAGTGGGTTGAATCAGGTGGTCAGACATTGCAATACATGCTGTTTGTCACTGATACTTCCTTACAACATAAGGGAAAGTTTACCTGGAAATTTCTCAGTTCAAATCTAATCATTAAACAGAACATTTTATCAACTTTTGCTTTCTTACATTAATTTATTTTTACCAGAAATGATGTGCAGATTTCAGTCATGTAATTCCAGTGCATTAAGTACACAACATAAAATCTTTTATGCAATAGCACATCAATGATAATGTGTAATAATGAGGCCAGAAAGACATGAATGTTGAAAACAATACGAATTTTATAGTATCATTGAAATGAGAAGGAATGTATCCATGATATGATACATCAGACCTGCAAAAATTCATATAAATCTAGAAGCCAGAAGAAGAAACAATATGCCTCAAGTGAGAATTCTGACATCGTCAACAACCATCTACACGGGCCTATTAACAACAGCCACTTCTGTGCATGCTTGGGGAAAACCAACTGATCCATTGCTAGAATACAGGAAAAACATAAACTATCTTCTGTCACTGCTACAATATGAGGAGAGAAATGACAATATAATATACAAATAAAAGGGAAATTGGGGGAAAAATATAAGGGAACAGAGGGAAATATTTTATCATGATTGAGAGGGTCGAAGATGGGAAAATACGTATTAGAGGAGATGGAAGGGACAGAGATAATGTTACAAATGGGATAAATAGAATGAAAGCCCAGGTGTGAGGGAAATGTTTTAACTTAAATAAAGGGAGGGGAAGGAAATGATGACAGGACAAACAAATAAAAGGTATAGAAAGGCATAAGGGAGATAGAGGGAAGAAGATAAAGATAAAAATGGGACCATCTTCAACGGGTCATAAAAGTAAAATTGTTCCTGTACTTAACTAATTAAGCACTATGCCATGAAGCCATATTGGGGAGTGGATGTACAGACCCACGTTTTCTTGACCTCAGCAGTTGTTGGAGGTAAGTGGCCAGCTTCACGCCCCGGCCGTTTTAGCCCCAGAGAAAGAGCCCCTGCTTTCCACTGGCTGGGTGGGCCCCAGGGATAATCTGGATGACATGGAGGAGTGAAAATTCTTGCCCCCACTGAGACTTGAACTTCGACCCCTTGGTTGTCCAGCCTGTAGCCAGTCGCTATACCAACTGCACTGTCGGGTCTTGCACTTATACTAATAATATGATGGGAAGAAAATTCTAAGTATCATCATGAAAATTTTAGGTGCCATGCCACTGTGACACACTGAAATTTTGCAGGTCTGTGATGGATGTATTACTTCTCTGTGCCTGTACAGCCCCCTCAGCTACAATCATATTGATCTTCTACGCCTCTGTCTGCCCAGAAACTGAAGGAATAAATTTCTGATGTGTGAGCAACCATGATGAACATTTCCTTACTTGCATTGTTAAGGTGGGTTTACACTGCGGCAACTTAAGGCAACCTAGTTACCCTCCTCGGGTGACTATGTTTGCTGTCCAATTTATCAAGCACTATGTGGCCAGGAGAAACATAGAGGTGACGGCACAGACTCACATATGGGGTCTCTGAACAAGAATCATGCATTCCAACCTACAGTTGAATGAAAACATTATAAAATAACTGCTCATGAAAATAATTTCTCACAACTCAAATTCTGACTTAAGAAGCAAAAATTATGCAATATATATGGGAAAAACACATGAGATTTGAAGTTCCCATGGCAGTGTCTTCTGGGATGTGAATGTAGTTTGGCAAGTGTTCACCGACATTTCAGAGGAAATTATTGGTTCCAACTTAAGCGAAGAAAAGTTAAGCTTGGGGAAAAAGTGGTAGTTGCAGGGTCATAGACACTCCATTGGTCATTCACAGCCTTTTTTCTCTCACTTCTCTACTACTGCAAAGAACACCCCTTTATATGGCATCACATTCCTTCCCATTCTCCTTTCTTCAGTTGCTTCATTAAGGGCTCCTAGACTATCCATTATTTTTCCTATATCTTCAACACTTTGCTATGCTCAGTTTATCCCCCAACCTTCAAAGTGGAGGCAGTATGCTCCTCTGAAGCAATACCAGGCTATATGGTGTCACATCACAGAAGACAGTTATCTATATACTGGAAAACTCTGAAAGGTTACAGCATTCATTTGAACAAATATAAATACACAAATTGACAGAAGAACATCAGATTATTTTGTACCCGGGGTTTACAAAAGTAATTTCATGGAAGACCAGTGAATCTTTACTGTACAGGTAAATGTGTAATCTGTCTTGGTCAATGTTGCTATGCTCCTAAACTTATTATTTTTCATGACCAGAAAAGGGTATCTAAAATTAATTAAACTTTACGCACAGCCATAGCTTGCTGAACAGCAGAGTTTCAGGAGCTCTTGTTACTGCTGAGAAACGAAACTATATAGTTAATGTGTCTATTTTAAAACAAGAGCCACTATTTATATGGCTGTTTCCCCCCTTCCCCCATACTCACATTATGTCACTTGTTAACCCTGTTCAATAACACAAGTTATGGTCAACACAAGGCTATCATCAAGTACACCTACATTTTGTTGCTATGCTGTTCTCTTGTTGGGCAAAATGTGAATTAAAAATTAAAATCCAAGGTTAATCTATGCTTTCATCATGTGGATGCTGATGGAATTTGTACACCTTGTTATACTCAGGTTCCTAGTGCAGCTGTGCTTTATTTTTTTTTATTAATGGATGTACCATTCATGGTTGGTGGAGGAAGGATCAACACAATCTTCAGCCATCAACCACAAATACTACACCCACTAAATACAAAAGAAAAGTAGCAACACAGCTACACCATGGACCTGAGTATCACAAGGTGTAGCAGTTTCATCAGCCTCAAAGTGCTAAAAACTTCGACTCAACCACCAATTTCTATTTCCAGCTTTTAATTAATGTTTCACTCAACAAGAGAATACAGTTCATCAATTTGCAACAACATATACATGTACCTGTTGACGACCGTGTGTGGCTGAAACAGCATTAACAAGTGAGTGTAAAAAATGAAATGTATGAAAAAATACGATACAATCATCTGAACATCAAATAAAAGATGAGGAATAAGACTAAAAAATAATAACAAATTAAATGATAAATGCAACAGTGTGCTTAAAATTGACACCTGACATCTGAGGATTAAATGTACATAAAACAGTTGGCTGGTATTCTTATCCGAGTATTGGCTGACCTATCAAATACACCCCTCTACCCTTCTCTTAGCCTAAATCTTGCTAGTGACATCCATATACATCTCAGCACTCAAAATATCTTTACATGACTGTATCTGTTCAATATATGGGAATATTTTTAATAAATTAAAGGTTTCAGGAAACGAGGCCCAAAATATCACAAATTTGGCTACATACTGTTTTAAACATGCCATCAGCATTGTTAAAATGCTGCAGTATAACTTCAGTAAGTTCCTTAGCAGCTTGGCTCCTTCATTCAGTGACCAGAGGTTCCTCATACTCTGCCGTTTCCATCACAGCAAGCTTCATGTCATCTATATCCACCTCCTCCACGATAAGGGCCCCCTTCTCTTGATCCACTACTTCATCTCTATGATGTCGTTCATGATGCCTCTTCAGATTTCCTTTCTGCCTAAATTTTCGCAGACAGAACTGGCATGTGAATGGACGTTCCCCTGTGTGCACCATTAAGTGCTGCTTCAGTTCATGTGGCACAAAGAAGGCCTTTGAGCACAGCTGGCACTGGTATGGGCGTTCATTTGTGTGCACCCTTCGCAAGTGGTCTTTCAATTCTGATGGCTTCCTGAATGATTTTGAGCAGTACTGGCATCCACGTGGACGCCCACCACCGTGCCCTGCACGATGCAGTTCCATCTCTTTCCGTTCTGAAAACTTTCTATGACATGTGTCACATGAATATGGCTTAGTCCCACCTGCATGTGTCTTTTCATGTCGCTGCTTGTTAGCCCACTGATTGAATGACATAGAACAGAAAGAACAAGTATAAGGACGTTCACCTGTATGGATTCGTTCATGAACTACTAGTCCGCTCAGCTGATGGAAAGCCTTTGAACAAACAGAACACATGAATGGGCGTTCATCAGTATGTGATCGCACGTGTTTCTCAAGATCAGAAGGCCGGAAGAATCCCTTTCCACACTGTTCACATGGATAGGGAGACTCCCCTCGATGCTGTTGTTCATGATTACGAAGAGCATATATTTGTGTGAATGAACGGGTACACAAACTGCAGAGGAATGGTCGTTCACCCGTGTGCACCCTTTCATGATTACGCAGCGATGCTGGTATCTTGAACACCTTACCACATGTTGGGCAGGGGTACTTGCGGCCCTCTCCCCACCGAGCTCGCCTGTGCTTGCCTGACGATTTCTCAGATTCTGAACATTCCTTGGGCATCACTTCTGGATCACTCTTGACTTCTTGCTCCTTGGTCACATTCTCATTATTTGGCTCCCGATCAACATTCATGTTCCCTTCTTGCTGACATGTGTCCCAGTGTCTGTCCAAAGAACTGAGTGTGGAGAACACCCTGATGCATCCTGTACACTTGTATCGTCGTCGCAGACCTGATATTGTAGATGTCAACTCATCAGCTCCCTCAGTTCTTCTGAAAGGTTTCAGAGCATAAGTTGTTCCAGAGAGTTCCTCCAACTCCACAAGACAACCTACTTCAAGGTTTCCTGTGTCAGTTTCCAGTATTCCATCACTGTCAATTTTTTCTTTCTTGACTGTGGATATATCATACGAATCTTCACTTGATAATTGCAGCACAAAATCTTCCTCTTCATCACACTCATTCACCTCCTTATCATCAATATCCTCCTGGGTGCTGCCTGTGTGGGCTGCATCAACAACTTCTTCAAACTCACCACAGATTACAGCAACTGTCTCCATAGAGTCTTCAACAAACTGCAATTCCTGCATACCATTTTCTTCAATAATATCTTTACCATCACCTTCTGGGAGAACCTCTGCAACGGTTACCACTTCAAGTGAGCTCAAAACTTCTTTCTCTTCATCTTGTTCTGGAATCTAAAAATTCAACATTTCAAACGAAAAAATTAAAAACTAGTCCTTAAACCAAATTTCAGCAAATAAATTATTTCTACCATTTTTGATACATTGCCAAATTAACAGCATTAAAGAATTCTGCGATCTTAAAAGTACATTGCATTTACCTACCTTCATTTCTAACACCCATTAAGCTAGTAATTTCCATGAAAAAATATTCTATCACCATACACGCAAACAATCTACTGTTGTTGGCAATTGTAACTTTCCTAATAGAAAACTTTGTTACAGCAATTCTAGTTTACTGAGGCACTTTAGAAGATTTTCCTCTCCTTGCTATACAGGTTTTCCCTTTCCCAGACCTTCCACTGACCTATGGTTGGATAGCGGTCGCAAAATACTATACAAAACTATCAGCTCCTTGTGCCTCCCTTACATAAAAGTTCATTGTTAATATGCTACTTCAGAGAGGCACTGTGGAGTGTCATCTTCTCCTACTCCTCAGATCTCCTTCACAGCTATTTAAGTGATATCATCCAAGCACAGCTCAGTGGAAAAGAAAACCTATAAAGTGGGAGGGAAAGAAGTAAAAAGTAAAGCTATCCTTATAACAGGCAGTGGAGGCCCACAGAGTTGTGACACGTCGAGGTTCCCACATTTTCTAGAAAATCAGCTCACAGATGGCGATGAGGTAGTCAGCCTTACGTGCCAACCAGCCGCCATTTAACCCCAGGAAGATTACTGGTAATTATTTCTTTTAAGCACGGTACACCCATAAACTAGAATTTTACCCTAGTGTTTCTTTTATCATTATCTACATTTATGGAGAGAAATAAAATTGATGTAACACTGTACACACAAACCTCAGTCGTAGATGTAACATCGGAACTGTCTTGACTCTTGGCACATTGCATCAGCTTCATATACGTGTTCATACACGTCTCTCTGAACTCGTAAAACCGATTAACTAAATTCATACAATGGGTACAGATAAGTTTCGGTAGAAAATCTTCAGCGGTCACCTGCAAAACAAGTTATGTTGTAAAACACGGTAATAACTTAACTGAATCAAGTAATGTATATAATACGTAAAATATACATAAATACTTACAGTTATGGAAACACAAACCATAATTTTCAGTGACAGAGGAATTCCTTCGCAACACTGTGGGTCAAATATTGACACATTCACATCATCTGACAAACACAAACGACACCTTTTTTGTACACTCTGTACAATGCACATGTTTCTCAGTCTTATTATGAAATGTACAGAATGAATATTCCTATATAGTTTCTAATTTTACAGAACGCAAACGGAACAGTTTTATATACGTATATATAAACATATATCTCATCGTCATGTTACCCAGCTTCGCCAACTAAACTAATGAAGGTAACCAATGACACTCCAACACAGTTCTTCCTAAATTTATACACGGCAAATGGAAATGTGTGCATTATAGTCATTTATCTTACATTTACGACGTGATTAGAAGAGCATCTATGCTGTATTCAGTCCTGCATTTTCTTGCTTTGAATTTTACAGCAGATTTGAGGTACTGCGGATACATTACTTATTCAGTGGTTGCCACTCCTGCCGCTTGCTGCTGAGACTGGATTGGAGTGTGTGGTGTATGTGGCGAATGCCAAGTGACTTGCGAGTTAGTGTACTTTAAGCAAATAATGAGTTTAGACAAAAATACGGCTGTTTCTGTTGATCCACAGCTTCAGCATTTTATTGAAGTTGAAACTCAAAAGCAGCGGTTTCAGGTATGAAAATTACGTAAGTTAAATATACTGAGGTATGAGCACATTAGTAGGATCTATGCACGCCCGCTACTGTTATTTTTCAAAGAAAATGACTTACTAACGGCTGTGTTGTCTTTACAGTTTCTTGTCCACGGTTTGACAGACACATGTTGGGAGCTGTGTGTTGATAAACCATCCTCAAGGCTGGATAATCGCACTGAGAATTGCCTAAATAACTGTGTTGAACGATTCATTGACACAACCAACTTTATTGTTAATAGGTTGGAGAAAACACAGCAGTTTGCAGCAGTATCATCAGATTTGTCGTTTGAATAAACTGAACAATCAACCTGGTATAGGATATAGCTTGTATAAATAATTACTTAAGGTGACTAAGTAATAGGCAATGATAGCAATATGACCATGTTTGCAAGAATACAAGCTTTCCTGTATCGTCACAGGCGAAAGTTTATTATAAGCGGAATATTAATTGGAAGTGCAGTTCTAGCGTCACGATATGCACAAAAGAAACTCCGTGAGTGGCAAGAGAAGGAAACAAAAGAATTCTTGGAACGTACACGTCGGCAGCATCATTTTGAGAGCACGGAACGAACTTGTAACCAAACGATACTTTCGCTGATACCTACCATCAGAGAGGCAGTAATTAAGATCTTAGACACAGAGGACTTGGTGATTAGGCTGCGAAGTGATCCACCTGATAAGTTGTCATTATGGGAAGAGCTAAAGATCAAAGCCTTCACTCGTGCATCAGTGTTGGTGTATGCTGGAGCCATGCTGGTGGTAGCACTGCGCATCCAGCTCAATCTTATTGGTGGTTACATGTATCAGGACTCGACTAGTGAGACAGATGAGGGGGCAAGGGCTCCACACATCAGTAGTACACTCCAACACAATTATCTGTCATTATGCCACCATTTTGTTAATGAGGGCATACATGAATTATGCTCTCTTGTGGAAGAGAAGGTTCATCTCATTGTGGAGGGAACATCATTGAAGCAGCAGCTGAATCTTCAGGACACAGAGCAACTCTTTTGGGCCATACAGGCAGCTGTGACAGGTGACCTCCGTGACCCCATCAAATGTCTTGCCCGGTATATCCTTCCACCAGACCATCCTGCCACAGCAGATTGTGATACTTTGCAGAAAATGGTTTCAGAAACAATGGATTTGCTAGAGAGTGATGAAGTTTTATCCTTGACATCATCTTGTGTGAGCCAAGGTTTCTCGTTGATGGTTGATCGAATATCTGATTATTATGGACCAGCAGCAAATAAAGCAGCTCTGAATGTAAACGCCGGAACATCTGGTCTTCAGAACAAGACACAAATCCCAAACAGTGGTTTGGGGCACAGTAATGGTCTTGCCACCTTCGTTCATCCAAATAATGTGGCGATGCCCATGGCCAAGCTGATACCCATTGTGAATGGACTGGTCCAGCATCAGATTGGCCATGGAGGTGGCCCTGATCTATGGATTCAGCAGCTGATTCTGAATGAAAAACTGAAACTCTTGGGAGCAAATGTGTATGAGGCATTCAGTAACAAATGACAAACTGCATTTATCTTTTCCTTCACACTTTGACAGGATCCGTGATTAAAATTAAGACAGCAATGTCCCAACTATGAAGGAACTTACCAATATCATGACTATCATGACCACTATAGGTAGTGTCATGGAGAGAAAAGTGGAGGGGTCGGTGAAAGTTTGATGACCTTGACTGGCCAAATGATGGGTTCCCAAATGTAATGTAACATTTTTGGTAAACTATAATGAGAATGGACATGCCAGTTGTAACAGTACTGCACCAAAGGATTGTAGCTCCATATGTCTGAAACCTCAGTGGCTAGCTTCAAGCTCCAGCTCTTTTACTTAAGGAATAATCCCAGAACTAGTAGAAGGCTCAACAGACTCCAGAGCTGGTCATAAGATGGCTGGGGGTATGAAGTCTGAGCCTGAGGTCTAGGATGCATGGAGCTTCATGCCTCCATGATGTGGTGCTTATTCAAGTTCATGGTCTTGTTTAAGACACTTCATAGCAAAACTGCCAGTAATGTAGTTCAGTCTAAGTTACTCTGTAATTTTGATTTTATAAATGAAGAGCCACAAGAATAGAATGGATGTGAATAAATGCAATGGAGAGTCAGAGACATGAGGCATTTAAATGATAAACTGAGATATGCAGAAGTTCTGAAGAGACTTTGTTAAATTAAAAGGATTGTTTTTTTAATATTCATGAATTTTCAATGATATAACATTTCAGGTTGTGGATTTCTGATAATGAAGTAAGTTGATTGTGATAATGCTGGATTCAGTGTGGCTAGCTCCCACATAGGTCTCCAAATTCTATTATGTTAGAGCTTTCATTCTAAATTAATGATAGGGAAGTAATATAATGATAAATATATGTTATATTACTTGTAGCTCAGATGGTTTAGCAACAGGTGATGGGCTGGACAGCCAAGGAATCACAGTTCTATTCTTGGTAGGGATAAGGGATCTATCTCTTCTCCATTGAGCATTCATACTGGCTCTGGGGCCAACCCTACTTCCTGTCCGGTGAGTACTGTGGACTCTTTCACCAAGGGCAAAGCAGCCAGGGCATGCAACTGACCAGTAACTTCCATGTGCCAGGGATCTATACCTCCTCCTCCCAGTATGTTTTCATGGAGTGATGCTTAATTAGTTAAGCACAGGAACAACTTTCCATTTACCTACATATTAACCGACTTTCATTGTAAGATAGTTTTTAAGTTCAATATGAAAGTTATCTCTAAGTTTGGCCAATGCTTTGAAATGTTTCATAACCTACTTTTACAGTATTAAAATAAGGGCAGTGTTTTCTTTTGTATTAATTTTATTCTTGTTAATTTTGCTTTTGTATCTCTTCAGATATGAAAGTCATTAATCTGTTTTGGTTTCATGTTGTGATATTGTCATGTGTATTAGTGACTGTAGACAGTGCTTTGATTGGTGACATGATGTATTGACCACTTATACACACAACTCAGAACTACAAGCAGTTCAAGGGCTATTGATGATCTACACACTTTACAAATCACTACAGCACATGTTAAGCCTCAGTCTTCTATAGTTTTCTCTAGTTCAACAATGGAATCATGCCATTGCCCACTGGCTACTACTCACAACTGAGCTCAGTCAAAGTCACATTGTGACTGACGGTCAGTCAGTCAGTCAGTCTTGGTGTCAAGCCCAATCTGGGGCTTATGACCAGATATTTATTACTGTTTGACAGTTTTGGTCTTGTTTTTGTGGGGCACCCTCCCTGACGAGAGAACAGGTCTGTCTTTTGTCTGAGTCATTGTCTGCAGTAGTAAGTAATTTGTCTGAACTCTGTGCTCCAACTGTAACTCTATTGTTGTGTGTGTATTTATTGCTGTGGAAATGTGTTTACCAAGCCATTGCCTAGAAACAGTCACTTACAGAGTCACCACTTAGCAGTGGGTCTATATGCCACAATATAGAAATCCTGAAGGTTTGCACAACTAATTCTGTGAGTAGAAACATTGCTGATGGTGGAGAACGAAAGTTTTCTCTGCAGAGGAATAAATCTGTAATTATGCATATGAACTTAGTTAAGTGTGTAATTTGTTATGGCATTGTTTTTTAAAATAAATTACTGTAAATTCAACTTTACATACAAATCTTATGTTTAATTAAGAATATTAATTCCTTCCTACACTTCCTGAATAAGGGAAACAGACCCATAACTCCTACAAAGCTTCATTTGTTTGAGGAAACTAAAAATTGCAAGAATGGAAAATTTATTAAACTGTAACAAAGGAGAAGATAAAATTTAGAGCCTGAGTAGTGGAAACAGGAAAACGTTACTGAAAGATAAAGATTCATAAAATAAACAGCACAGCAGGCCAAGAAATCATAACAGACTATATTAAGAATCTCCTTACTCGAGTTACATAAGCGGCACAACATTGGCCGCCTTGAAGAGAGAGAACAGGGGTTATTGACACGAACCTTAAGGTTTATGAATTTAATTTTGAACAAAGTTTAAAACTTTAAAACAACTCTAAATATAAGATTTGAGGCTTTCACGGCGGTGACTATGAAGAAAGCAGTCTTCTGGGATTTGGCACCGTGTATATGTGGTGTTAACCGACGTTTCGGAGGAACGTATCGCCCCCATCTTCAGGGTTGAAGAAAAAGTATAAGAATTCTGCAAGCGACAACACCGTGAGAAACGGTGAAGCAG